CATTCTCTCGCTTGGCTTACAAGAATTATCGTTATATTTCGAAACGTTGCGCCTCTACCATCTGGTAACTTAATTCTAATCGTGGAGATGGGTGGCGCTGAAAATCTGGTAGAATCCTTCAGTCTTGATTTATTTGCAAAAAACATACATAGAATCACTTACGACGAAATACTATGCTACTTACTCTATGCTGGTCCCGATCAGAAAAGAAAGATTGACAACCAGCAACACGCTAATTCGAATACGAAAAAGTAATAATTTAAATTATCGGCCAGCATTGACCATAAACCGTCCGAAGAGTACACCTGCCTACAGTAATGTGCTTGGACGTTACAGTATCTTGGAGGATGGGTTGACCCCTAGTATGGGATGCCACTTGCATTGACACTTTGGTGCCGACTCCTAACCGTCGCTGCTGGCGAAAGCCTCAAACGGCAAAAATACTTGAGCCGTTTGGGGTTATATCAAGAGATAAAAAAGAAACATTTATGCAGGTCTGGTGATCAGAAGGTTGTTTTGTACCTTGCCCAAAGAATTAGTTCTGCAATTTAAAGAGGAAACACACACAGTCTTTTAGGCACCTTATCCCGATGGATGGATAATTTGGTGGATATTTAGTTTAGTTTTTCTTTATCTAGTATAGGTTTAGTCATAGCATAGATAAGTAGTATAATGTTTATTACTAATATTGAGTATAAGAAATCTGATGGATACAAGATGTGATATGCATATTTATGTTCAACGAAATTCTTCGTAGTAAATTATAAATTATTTGGAACGTTCTTATAAATATAGTACTTTCACAATAAGCGCATATACACGAACAGCCACTGACCATGTTTCTGAGAGCTGTGCCTATAGCCGTTCATTAATTAAATAGATTAGTTAAGGCGATATGGTTGGACGCTCCAACAGGTAGACTTATTTTCGTGGCGTAAAGTTGTCAACAACATCTTCTATTATAACTTGTCGGTCGTCACGCCAATGACACAGTAGCAATTGGTATATTTAATGAAGTTTCGAATTTCTAATATAAAATATAACAGACTTTTTATTTATTGAATAGGGGGCAGTCGAGCAGACGGATCACCTGATGGTGAGTGATTACCGCCGCCCATGGACACCTGCAACACCAGAGGAGCTACAAGCGCGCTGCCGGCCTTTGAGGGACGAATAAGCTCTACGCTTGAAAGTTTGAAGGTCGTATCGGTCCGGAAATACCGCTGGCGACAAACTGTTCCAGAGTTTGGCTGTGCGAGGCAGAAAACTTCTAGAAAAACGCATAGTTGAAGACTTCCAACCATCCACATGATGGGCGTGGATTTCTTGTCGCGTGGAACGATGGCGGAAAGTAGCGGCAGGTATAAGTCCGAACAATTCCTCGGAGCATTCCCCGTAATAGATGCGATAGAAGATGCACAGTGAAGCAACATCTCTACGCAGGGCCAGTGGATCAAGCCGACTTGAAGTGTCCCGGCAATCGACGATTCGAGTCGCTCTCCGGTGAATGCGGTCTAGAGGGATAAGCTGGTATTGGGGTGCACCTGCCCAAAGATGAGAACAGTATTCCATATGGGGCCGAACCTGCGCCTTATAAAGCTGCAGGCGATGCGCCGGAGTGAAATACTGCCTCGATCTATTAAGCACACCAAGCTTCTTAGATGCTAATTTAGCTTTATCCTCTAAGTGACCACGGAACTGGACCTCGCTCGATATGTCGACACCGAGAATCTCAATATTGGCTGTGGTAGTTAGGGGAATGTTTTGAAAGCGAGTTGATACGACAAAAGGGGCTTTTTTGGCGGTGAACGCGCAAACCTGTGTCTTAGTAGGGTTAAAGTGGACCAAATTAAGTCGACCCCAGTTAGAGACTTCCTCTAACGAAGATTCAATATCAGACACAAGTAGATTCCGGCTCTCAATGACGCTTTCCCGAGAAACATTAGCACGACCGTTATAGTCCTTCGTGCTGTCATCCGCATAACAATGAATACCGTTAATTTGCAGCATGTCATTAATATGCAGAAGAAAAAGTTTCATTAAAAGTGGTTCCAAGCACATCGCTAAGAAGTTTCTAGACTGCGGTTTGATTTCATTATATAAGTTCTTTTTGTAACGTATTTTTGAAACAGTAAACATTTTTTTTTATTGGCTGACTGTTTAGTTTCTTCAGTAAAAAGTTAATAACACAACGAAGTTCTGTTGGAATGAATAACAATAAATCAAACAAGTTGTTTTTTACTATTTTTAACTTAATCAAAGAAAAAAATCTCTTAATTTCTTGTTGTTTATTTATTCGGAAAACATCCAGTGATATATATCTGTAACAATAACTATATTATACATTACACACCATTTACATGTTTTCGCATTTAAGTAACATTTTATTGCTTATTCGCTAGTGTTAACAAAGAGAAAAAAAAAAACAAAAACAAGGAGATTATATAGCATCTGTGATACCTACAGTAAGAGAACCGTCAAACCAAAACTGAGTTGGCGAATCTTTAAAATGTATGTGTTTTGAATAAAATAGGTCAAGTGTGGGAAAGATAGTCAGTTTATTAACAGCGTTGGAAGATCTTACAAAAAAGGAGTTTTGCCTGTAATTAATGGCGTATTGTGGGACATGTAAGTTACGCAGGCCGCCTTACTACTGTACCGCCCGGAATTTTGAGATTGATTCTCGGGAGAAGCAGTGAGTCTTTTTGATACTGCCCAATCTTGGCCAAGTATATAATGTCCGCTATTTCTCTACGTTTATATAGGGGCAAAATGTGGTATCTGTGACACTTAGCGTCGTAATTGGTGTCGAAAGATTTAACACTTGTACTGCAAAAATCTCAAAAACCTACGCTGAATAGACTCAAGTCTGTTAATATGAACATCGTATCGGGGGTTCCAGACCTGAGAACTATACTCAAGGATACTTTGCACCAATGAGCAATATAAAATCTTTATCACTTTTGTATTTTTTAATTCAGAACAGGATTGAATAACGAAACCCATAATCTTACTGGCCTTTTTGACAATACTATCTACATGCTTCTCGTAAGTTAATTTAGAATCGTGGATTATACTAAGATCTCGAAATTCATTGATTAATTGTAATTCATATCCTTTGAGGTAGTATTTACTATGCCACGGTGTTTTTTTACTTATCGAACTACATTTTAGGGCATTTAAATATAATTTATTTAAGTTGCATATTTTCCAAATCTATCTAAATCCTCTTGAAATAGTTGACAATCATTAAAACAAAAATGTTTTTAAATATCTTCACATCATCTACATATAATAGAAATTTCGAGAGCTTAAAACAAAAGTTAACATCGTTTACAAATATATTAAAGAGTAACGGCCCCAATAGGGAACCCTGTAGTACTCCTGAGTGAACAATAATCCAGTCAGAAGAGAATCCGTTAACAACTACTGCTTTTGAACATTTTTCTATATATGAGTTAAACCATCTAAACAGGCCTGGATGCCTGTAAGGAGGAGTTTCTTTAATAGTATCAAATGATCAATCCGGTCAAAAACCTTGCTATAATCGGTGAAAATGGCATCCATTTGTCCTTTAGCATCTATATGCAAAGTTAGAAAGTCTGGAAATGACAACAGCTTAGACGTAGTAGATCTCTTTTTTAAAAATCCATGTTGCTTAACTATAAATGTAGGCGATAAAGTTTCATACACTTGAGTCAATACTATTATACTCGAATATTTTCGCAGATACAAAGTTTTGATATGAGTCTGTAGTTGTTTACTGTGCTCTTGCAACTACTTCTATGCACTGGTGTAATAAATGCAGATTTCCACATTTTAGATATATATTTTTAGGCCTTCTCAGATTGATAGTTTAAAGAGAACAGTAAGTGGTTTTGTTAAGATTTTTGCACATATAGTAATAAACAATGGAACAATTTTATCTGGACCGGCACCCTTATCCACATCTATGGTTTTAAGTAGCTTTAAAACCGTTTCTGGATTAATTCCAATGTTACTTATAGTAATCGAATTATTGTTATCCACGGAAATCAATGAAATCTAATGTTCATTATCATGTAAAGAGAAGGAGAGAAATGTAGACCGAAAATAGGAGGAAAAAAGATCACAAATTTCGTCACCCGTATTTACTACTTTCTCATCATAATGTAAAGTTGCGGGGATTGCATTTAGGCCATTTATATGAGATCTAATAAACGATCAGAACATTTTCAGTCGTTTCTTTATTTCATCTTCAGAATTTTTTAAGTAATCTTCGTAGCACTTTACTTCAACCTTCTTTGCTCGATCTCTGAGAATATAAAATGTGTCGTAGTCATCACTATTACCATATTGTTTTTTTTTTATATATTCCTCCTTGATTATTTTCGTCAAGGATGCTTTATAACAGGGTGGGTATGAAGAACAATAAAGAATTGTCTTATGTGGTGTATATTTATCTATAATGTTATATAAATGTTGACAAAACATATTTGTTGCTTCATCCAGAGAACCACTACTAAGGCAAACTTCCCACTCGATATCCTTTATATATAAGATGATAGATTTGTAATTTGCTCTTTCATAATAATATTTTATCCTAGATGTTGGGAACAGTGGAGGAAGTTGAGCAGATTTTAAAGTTATTAACAATGATGAGCATCTTCAGGTACTAAAGGGTCATTACACAATGCCACAGTCACATTCTCATTGTGATCTCATTAATGTTTCTATTCAAGTTAAATAGATTGAGATTGTATTCAGTCAAGGTATCAAAAAAAATTGTTTGTGCTTCACCGGCTATACCTGAAGGTTGAAGGAAATTTAACTACATCGACATTGCTTAGGTAAAATTTGAATCTACTTGTTTTATATATTTTCACTTTTAGTTTTAAACGGTTTTATAGCGTATATTTTTGAATGAAATCGTTTTATTTCATTACTTTGAATCTAATTGTCATCAAAGTTAATTTATCGACATTGTTTCAGTGCCTGCTCAGCGGGTAGGATGCGGCGGCATGCACCGCATCCTGCTGCTAATGGCGGTGCTCACACGGGCCATTGCACCACAAATCCTCCGCGTAGGTATGTCAAAGTACAACTAAGCCAAGAATTTATGAACGAAATTGCGAAATCACTTTCAGTATTATAAAGAGGCAAGATTTGGTTGTTTGTTTGTTTGCAACGAATAGTCTCCGAGACTACTGAACCGATTTTAAAAATGTTTAAACGCTACGTCGTATGCGGTAGACATAAGATATTATTTATCCTGAAAAACTGCAAATAATGGGATGGAAATGGGAGTGGAAGTGTCTACAGGGAATTAAAACGTTACCGTAGCACAATTACGATATTTACCATTCAATTTGTCCTTGTAATAATATCCGAGTCAAGATATGAATCGATATAAAAAATATATATATATTTCCACATGAGTTATAATTTTACCGATATTTATCCTGCTTATCAGTTCCTTAGGGACCAGGCAAAGCCGCTGGTGGAAAGTTTGTATGATATATTATTTGAATAATAAATTTTTAATATGATTGAACATAAAATTTAATTGTTCGTTTAATTTATATTTAAGGCGAACATCGTATAGCGTCATAATAACATATATATTGTACTCACCGGCCACTGCCCCTTTTGTTTTGGATACTGTTGTAACCTAACCTAACCTCATCGATTTGTTGATTTTTTCGTATCTAGTAACGCTGTATACTAAACTAAGATATAAAATAAAACATAAAAAACAATAAAAAAAAATTATACTGAATAATCAAATTTATGAGCCTCTTATTGGTCCTATTTTTAGAATTTTTATCTTACGTGTTATGTGTCAGTACACGATGGAATTTCTGTATAAAGTGCAATATCCGATGTAATGTGATGTGCGTCCGACAACACGTCATGCATCTTCTAGTAGATGTTCTCTGACCCTTAAATCCTTCAATAAATTCGTCGAGGCTAAAATTAGGTTAGTGGGGAGGTGGGGCAAAATAGATGCAAACCGTCCTGATAAAAATAAATTTATGAATAGTTATATCCAATTGTTTTGAATGTTACGCCTTGAATGTTTTCATTTCAGTTCACTTGGGTACTGAGCCATCAGACCTGGACTCGTCCACCGTGCCTCCACCGACCGTCTTCAAGAACACCATGAAACTACCAACTAGAATCGTCAAGGGTTCCCGCCAAGGAAAAGTAGATTCACCAATGCTCAATTACATATTCGACTCCTACGCTACGAGCAACAAGCATTTTCACGACATGTATGTTTTTTTAAATATTTGTGTTATTAAGTATAGTCAGTCAGTCAGGATTGAGAGAAGATGCGTGGCGAAGTATAAGCCAAGTTATGAAAATCCTTATTTTTTTTTATTTATTAAGAAACCCAACAGCTTTTTTTACAATCATTTTGTTTTCACTTATATATCTAATCTAGGCAATAACAGAGTTTCATAACATGAATAATTCTATTTCTTAAGAAAATAAGAAAAGTAAGCAAATTCTATAAGAAAAGTAAGCAATAGACACAAATTATTATTATTATTATACAGTATGGTAACAAAAACAGATTCCACTTTATGTACATAACTATTTCAATGATTTTTTTTTGGTAGGGAGAAGCTATTATTATTGATAACAATACTATATACACACAAAGGTGAATAATACATGTAGTCCCACATACATATATTATACATACATAAACACATAATACCCATACAAATGACATTTAGTCTCAGCCATCCAAGTACTTCCCTTTTCCTTATCAAATAATACCATAAAAAGTTAAAGTTATTTTCGTTAATAATTGAGTTACTTATCACGGTCTTGAGCTTTCTTGACTGCTCGGTGAGATATGTGCCTGAATTCAATACATAATAGGAATGACTACTTATTTCTGTTTGTTTATCCGTCAGGTTAAACTAAGGTCAGGTTGTATAATAATTTTCAATCTATAATATATTATAATAGATATATAATATATTATAGATTGAAAATTATTATACACGTTCTTTTTTAATTCCTAATCATTAGCTAAACTATTTCTTGTTAAATTAAAGTAAAAAAACTTACATACCGTATATTTTTCTATTCTCGGACTGACGGACTAAATAGAATTTCTTTTTTTTTTACCCAGTCGTCATCCCTATTTAATTTCTTGGCTATTAAAGAATGATACCGTTTTAATTACTAGATTAACTGCAAAAAAACGCCACTAAAATTGACATTAGTTCCAAGAGATAATATAAATTATATAACGAACATATTTTTTTATTTATTATGGTCATTAGGGCTTGAACTCGTCATTAAACTTTAATAGACAGTTTTTAAATCATATCACAGATTAAAATTGTAAAGTTTGTGATTGCTAAATGATTCAAAAGAATGAAAACGGCCTTTTCTTTTTTTATAATAGCGGCATATCTAATATTTCATCTGAATCAAAGGCAGCACGAATTATTGTTTACGAAAATAATCTTCTATAGCTTCACATTTCCGAGAAACACGCTATTAAAGTTGTCTTATAGAATTATCTATCAAATTGTTCGACTCATTTTTGCTAGTAACGTAGAAATCGTCAAATGATAATTTATGTTCAAATTTGATGTTAACTATTCAGAAAATGTTTAATAAAGTATTGCTATTGAAATATAATATTCAGGGTTTTCAGTTTGCCTTCCATATGTTTAAACTCACGGATTTTTTAAATTACAGAGTAAAGCATTAAATCTTTAACTCAACGTTTCCCAAACTATTTTCGTTATTTCTATCCACCGACCCTATATCTATAGGAAATCAGGCATGATTTCATAAAATCTCTTGTAAAGAATAGTATTTTAACCTCTATAGGACTGTTATTGTGAAAGTTGTTGCTGTTCTTCTTCTTCTTGCTGTTCATATAAATTAATGATTTATGGGATTACATAAGCGTATTGAGAATAAAATTTAAATGCTGTATAAACTATTAAACTGAATATCCGAGTCACTGTAAGTTTGTTTTTTAAACAGTTAAATTTTAAACATAGTTTTGGTTACATAGCTTCTTTAGATAAAATAATAGTGGGAATAAGCATCCAGTTCATTAATTTAAAATTGTTCCATTAGCTTACGTAGTTGCAATATTTATTTTAATTTGAAATTATTGTCTTATTTTGTAAACTTACCTTGTGTCGCAAACTCTGTTCCAAGGATAATAACATTATTTAATTCGTAGAGCAAAGATAAATCTCGTGAAAAGAGAAAGTAGGGTAATTGAGATGATAGCAGGAAAAACAATAGATCTTTCTCCATACAAATTGGACTGTTCGAGCTTCGATTGGTTTAGCTAGTGAATAAGTAATAAGAGCTCGCTTAAACGGGAAAAGGTTAAAACTGTACCACTATGAGGCTAGATTGCACCATAAAAGCAATTAATGGTTAATATCAAATTAGAAGATAACTGCCACTTTAACTTTAACATTGGAATAATTAAAGTTATAACGGTTATTATGAAGAGCATATGCTTTAGAAACTACTTCGATTCGGAGGTGACAAGTATCTGTTAGACCGCTTTTAATCTTTACATATTATATAACAAAGTCGCTGCCTGTTGTCTTAACGCTGAGATTTTTAAATTACACAACGAATTCTAATGCCAATCTATATACATAAAATTCTTGCGTTACTGAGTGACTAACCGTTGACAGACAACGTACAGCTATTACTACTGAGAGTATAAAATTTAGAATGAGATGCCTTAGGGAGTGTAGAGGAGCACTAAAAGAATATTTTTGAAAATTCCTAAATTAGGGGATGAAAGTTTTTATGGAATTTTCTCATTTCTGGACTTAAAGCTAGACCACGCGGGCGAAGTCGCGGGCAAAAGCTAGTTTAACATAAAACAATAACTCTAACCATCGATTCTTGGGTGGTTAAAGTTATAACGTTATCGACCATTGCGTATGAATTCACTCATTATTTGCTGAAAAGGTACTATGACTATTTGTTATGATTAAAATAAGTTTAATAATAATTCTTTGATAAGAAGATTGTTCGGTAAAAAACACTAAATATCTCTAACATATCTTATTCGAAAAAATTCTCGTCCACCAAAAGAGAGTGACGTTGACTGATAACTTCTGTCTCCTTGAAGTAAAAAAAAGTTTCATCAATTCAGATTAGATATCTACTAAGAAGAAAAGTAATACCATTAGTAAATCCCGACTTAAAAGTTTAACTTATTCTGTAAAAACTATTCGATATTTTTTTTAATTTAGTTAGACTTGCTGGATAAAATTTATACATATAAAAATCTGTTCAATTTGACTTTATTGAAGATATAAAAGTGAGATTTACAAACTCATTAGTTTTGTTCATCCTATTTGTCCATTTTATAAAAAACAAACCATGTGGCAAAATTTATTTATTGTATGTTAAAATAATTACATTAATTTAAACTATGTTGATGAAGCATTTTTAAAACATCATGGTTTTTAGAAAGATGAACCTCCAGTACCTAAATAATTATAAAAAGTAATACTTCTGTAACTAAGCTATAAAATTCCAAAATTGTAACATCAACGCCATCTCTTACCAGTTAAGGTGAATTAAATCATCACGTTCCACATTTATTGGAAATAGTTAACAATTATTACAAATTTAGTAAAGCGATGTTCATATTCTCGATTATTTTAACATCTCATTAAAATTATTAGTAACAGCACGTTGTAGCAATTTATTATATAAATTGAGTAATTTAATTTATTCATAGCTATCCTATTACTACATCACAGGCACGTATCTGTGAAATTCAACTTGTTATGAAGATATTTTGGCATCAAAGGCTATTGACTCTTATTAGCAGATTATCAAAACAAAAAGGAAGAGGTTCTTTTCGACTCGTATGTATGTTTTTTTAGGACTCCAAGCACAAAGGGTAAAAACCCTATATATAAGACTGTCTGTCTGTCTCTTATGAACGTGATAGGTACATAATATATCGTATATAGATACTTGAAATTTTCAGGGATGATATATTTCTGTTACCAACTCAAAAATAAATAACATAAAAAAAAAATTATCACAAAATCAACATAAAACTTTATGATAAAGAAACTAAATCGAACTAAAAAATAATAAAGCAACAAAAAAGAAGAGTTAGAAATAATATGTTAGCTGTGTGTTGCAGAAAAGCAAAAGAGCCAAAGCTTTAGTATACGTTTGTCAAACATAACAATAAAAAAAATAAAGAACATTACGTATAATAAATATAAATATACAATACCATAAACAACAAATCTGTATATAAATATAGTCATTAATGTATACTATTATTAATAATATATACGTATTGTTTCTGTTTTAAAAAAAGTGCTTGATGATTAAAATTTAATGTTATAAAAATTTAAATCATATAATAGATAACACTAGAATAAAAATTGTCCGTAAAAGCAACAAGTAAAAGAAATTGTTTGTGTAATGTTTCTAAATTTCCTAGTGTAAATTCGTTACCTACTTTAGCATAGTTTAACCATGAACCTTCGTCGAAAATCATTAGAATTGTAACTAGAGCGGTGATGTTTAGCTATTAAAGAGGGTAATAGCCCAGAAATTGGATAGCGTTAAAAGGTCGTAAAATACCTTCTGTGATGTCATAACTTTAAACTAAAAATTACGGTATGTACCTTTGAGGTCGTTTCAAAATAAGTTTACGAGAAACATGTAGTACTAAGTACTCTCATAAATTTTCAAACAATAAATCTCACAAACTACATTCGCCATAAAAAGATAAGAAATAAAGTTAACCAGACACTACCTTAGTGTCGTTGTAAAAGTAAACAGGCATACTCCGTGAGTTTTATCATATGGAAAAAAGTGAATACATGTGGAAGTCTGGGAAAGCGAAGACACACTTTCATGGTTAAGTTGCTGAAGTACTATAGAAAGAGCTATAAATATACATCTAAGACTCATACCTTCTGGTTCTTGATTGTCTCTGCTTATGCAAGGAGTATATAATGAAGATATAGAAAAGATAGATTAGATGTTTTAAACAGTAACCTGTAATCAAACAAAATTATAAATGTATACAAATATTATAAAGGGGTATGAGTACATCGTTTATTTGTTTGTTTGCATCGAAAAGGCTCCGAAACTACTACACCGATTCAAAAAATTATTTCACTCACGCGATGCTACATCATAGGTGACATAATAATTTACGCGGGAGAAGTCGCGAGAAAATAATAAAAAGAAAATTTTGATAAACGACTAACGACAATGT